AGGTGACATAGATGCTTTATTATAGTATAGTATTTAAATATATGCCTGAGAAACACATAATATTGGCCCTTTAAGATTTCTTAACATTTATTAATGGTATCATCATGGTCCGTCCTGTGCAGAAAGACAAAATGCAAAATTATTTCTTTACTAAAACCTCTGTAACTTTGCTCCAGTTAATTTTAACGGCATGAATCTTCGCACAGGTAATGTCCGCTCGTGGATTTATGGTTTCCAAGAGTTTTTAGCGCATGGTTTAAAATAGATTATATACTGTCTAATGAAAAGATTATTCAGGTGAGAGTGAAAAAAATAATTAAAATGTTATGTTCCATCCCCAATATCTCTAAAACCACAGCAGCTGTTTTAATACTTACACTTCCGATAAAATCTCCCAAGTGTTCGCTTTATTTTGTTATCAAGATTATTTAAGTAGAGTTTGTAAATGCTGAGATACACTCAGTTACATTTCGGCATGGTATTTTGAGCTAAAACTTCAAGAAAACCCSTTGGGGCTTAAGAGGTTAAAGAAAAAAAATGTTAAAACTGCAGCCAGTGGCTCATTAGTGTCATCGTAATAACCACACACATGCACGTCTCCCTCTCTAACTGCAAAGGCAGACAGAAACACAGACTAAAATGTCAGCCTTACACAAACAGTTGCTGCGAAAAAAAGCAGTAACTCAGATTTGAGAAATAAACTGGTTTAAAGAAATATGAAAACTCCCATGCTGTGAATATTTTGAGTACTGAAAAAGTTATGGGCAAAAGACGAGTTTGCAAAATTTGAGAAAGTGTGTGACATCAGCAACTGTCTGATAAACAATCTGTGAGAAAATCTCTCAAAATCATTAAGCTTACACTGCGATTGTGCAGAGAATTCTTGTTCAGCCATGTAAAGTCAAACTTTCTTTGAACTGTGTTAAATTTTAAATGTGTTTCTACTGTGAAAATGTGTTAGCTTGGATTGGTTGACTGTGAATATGTACTTAGCTGATGATGGCATGTAGCCAAAACACATTCTGTTTCTGCCCTTATTAAAACATGTTGGTGTTTTTTTGGAATGCTGGTTATGCCATTTTTGTGATTCCTCAGAACCGGGCACCCATTTACTGTTTCTCCCTTTTTGTATTGGAGCTGTGCGCACTAATTTTTTTCTTATCGTCTGTGAACATGTACCAAAGAGCAACAAGGAGGTCTGGGCTTTCTCACTTGGTTTATGGGGAAATTTCTTGCAGTTTCTGTGAATTTAATTCATGATGTGATGCACTACTATCACAATTTATTGCACACTTTTTCAGAGAAAATTGCCCATTCTGATGTGTAATATGCATGTTTTAGGGCATCAAATTGAACAGTTGCGAAAAGGTAGTAGTAATGCTTCAGCTTTTTGTGCATTAGCATCATTTTCAACTATTTATCTGAGCGACCTCACTCAATATCCTTAATTTCTATCCCAATCCTTTAAAAATAATCATAAGAACTTTATTTTTGAATGAGAACCTGAATGCCTCTGCTTGTTTTTTATATTAAAATTTGGGCTGACGTCTGTAGGTCCATGTGAACCAAACTCACGTGATTTAGCAACATCAGAATTTATGTAAAGAAACAACTCAGACAGCTCGGTGTGCCTGATGGTTTCCTTCAAACTCATAGAGATTTGCATGAACTTCAGCTGTCACAGGTGACTTTAACACACGTTGATAGAACCGCTCATGTTTTAGAAAGCAGATGCATCCATATAGCTTTTTATGGTCCTAAATACAAAATCACTGAGTCCACAGGAGCCTCTGTCAGCTTTAAAACTCAACCAGCAGCAGGATTTCACTCAGAGTAACAGGTGGCGGTTCATAAATGCTGCCTTGATCAAATTCAGAGACAGAACTTCCCATCTGCCTCCTCCAGCTTTGGCCTTATCCACACTAAACCCCTGGCAGCCTGCAGACACCTGCCACCGTGGATTTAAACCACCAGATGAGCTAATGTGTTGAATGAAACAATTTAAAACTGTTACACAAAGTTACATATTGACACGTGACGTCACGGTGTGTGTCTGTGGATACGTACCAAAGAAGCAGTAGATGAGTCCAAACGATAAGCAAACAGAGCAGGTAATAGATGGGATGACCTCATATTGCATWTTAATCTCAAGAGTACAGATATCCACTTCTGCCGAGTCAGCTCCTGGTTCCTCAGTAACGTAGAGCCAGGAGACCGCCATCGTGGAGGATTCTGTTTGGAGCGGCTGCTTCGAACATGAATCTGTTTGGTTCACTGAGGAGGAGAAGCCGGAAAGTCCTGAACGTGGTGTCTGAGAAAAGAGGAAGCTCCTGGAATAAAAGCAGGCGCTAAAATGTTTCCTGTTGTGCACCTGCAAAAAGAAAAGACAGTTTTAATCTTTCATGGCAGAAGAGTCAGTGAATGCATCCTGCGAGCAATAAAACCTTAACGGTTTCTCTCTGTAGAGGAAATATAACTTTCAGGTTGACATTTATTCTTGTTTTGAGATGACTTATTAAGTTATATGTAGCTCTTTAGGAAAATATATGACAGGACGTGACTTTTTTTTTCCTATGTTCATTTTTCCACARAGAAGGAAACTGAGCATCCCCTCCAAGTTTGTGCTGCGTTCAAGAACAGGATGCAGGTGAGGAAATGGCCTGATTACTCAGTGCCAGTGCGGTTCAGATGTATTGTTCTGAGCAACTGCTTTGTTCTGTTTACTGAACAATAAGATGGAAACAAAAAGACAAATGAAAGCCATGAAATAAGATTAATAATAATAATAATAATAATAATAATAATAATAATAAT